GGGGGGTCAAGGGGACAGAAGGAGAAAGGGAGGGGCGGTAGGCTTCTCTGCATCCCCAGCATCCTCTCTGTAAGTGGGGCTGGGATGAGTCTCTACCTTTCCAGCCTCACCCCCTAACACGCGCCCCCCCCACCCCCAAGCTTTGGACCACCTGCGTTTACCCCTGCTAAAGCGAGTTTCCAGCGGGTACTGTCCCCAGGCCCCATCCAGCCCCTTACCTCGCCTGGGCGCTGGGGTCCAGGCACTGCCTTCTGCAGGTGGCAGCCCTCTGCCTTCCTGGCGCGTGGGACTGGCGGGTGGGACTGGCGGGAGGGGGACGGGTCTGGAAGATGCGTGGGGGTGTGTGCGTGTGTGGTGTGTGTGTTGTGTGTGTGTGCGCGTGTGTGTGCAGGCAGCACCTCCGCCCCTCACTCACTCACACACGCCTTCCTGCTGACGTCAGGACAAGGGCAGGAGGGAGGGACTGGGATGGGAATTTGTACTCCCCACTTAAAGGGACACTAGGCTCTGTTGCCTCTGTCTCAGACGCTACCTCCTGAGACAGGCACCACCAGGTGAGTGACTGAGCTGCGTCTGTCAGGGCCTTAAAGCTTCTTGTTTTGGAAAGTGGCTTTTATTGCTGGGCCAAGCTATAATTTGCCCTGCCAGGTCACTGAGGAATGCAGGAGGAAGAGCTGGGGACAGCACCACATTCTTGTGATTAGAGAGCAAAGGGGTGGTGAGTGTGTACATGTGAGTGTGTATGAGTGCAATGGGGGTCCTGTGGTCTGGGAGAAGTGAGGCCAGAGCAGAGAGGAGACCCTCTGGAACAAACCAGGTTCCTGGGGACTTCCAGATGTTCCTCCCCCACTAAAGTCTCAGAGTGGCCCCTGTCCTCCATTAGCACACACATGGCACTCAGCTCTGTCCCCTCACGTGCCTCTGCCATCTTCTAGAGTAGAGAATATGGGCAAGTGACATGAACATATCTGTTTAGCACAGAGTAGACCCTTGGCATGGTCTACTGAATCCAAGAGGACCCTAAGGGAGTAATGAATCTGTTATACACACACACACAGCCTGGGAGCCTCTGAGCAAAAGGGACCAGTCACCTAGAGAGAAGCCTGTGATTCCACATCACATCAGAAAGCCCTGGATTTGAATCTCAACCTCTGCTTTGTATGTGGACTTAGGACTCTGATCCTCCCGCCAAGAAGGCTGTTGAGGCCCAAGTGTAACACCTACTGCCTGTACTGTACGTGCCTAGGGCCAGGCTGGAGGAGGTCTCCACAAAGGGGCCTCTCTGCCTCCTTATTTCTTCTCCTTAGCCTCAGCTTGGAAAGAAACCTTTCCCTGGTGTCTCTTAGTACTACTGAGGCAGGCCGGAACTTTCAAAAGAAGTCTTATGAAAATAAGAAGGATGCCAGTTGCTGGTGGCTCACACCTATAATCCTAGCTACTCCGAAGGCAAAGATCAAGAGGATTGCAGTTCAAAGCCAGCCACAGGCAAATAGTTCGGGGGACCCTATCTCAAAAAAACCCTTCACGCAAAAGGGCTGGTGGAGTGGCCCTAAATTCAAACCCCAGTCTCAGCAAAAAAAAAAAAAAGTCTGAGTGGTTAGGAAGTGCAAGTCGTAGAGCACTTGAAGTGTAAGGCCTTGGGATTGTCTCTAGTGAAGATAAATAAATTAATAAATTTATTAAATTAAATAAGAAGGAGGTGAAAGTGAAAAGGGAAACAGCCAAGAAAAATTACAAATAGCTAATGAGAGTAGCTAAGTAAGATGCATTGAGGACTTCCTACCCGCCACCTCATAACAGCCCAGTGATTTATTCCTGTCATCTTTATCTTTATGGTGAGGAAAGAAGGGACTCACCAGTTATTCAGTTGGTTAGAGGGGCATTTGGGCCCAAGACCATCCAATGGCACCACATATCCCTCCCCTTCCAGAACCTCCCAGAACAATGAAGTTTGACTGCTGATAGTTCTGCCTGTGAGAATTCTGCCCAGGCCTAGAGTTCTGACGTTATAGTCAGACTCTAAAGTTCTGTTCTGAGGACCAACAAAGGTCTTCCCCTCCTCCCCATTTTATTTATTTGTGGGAATGGGGTGTGAACTCAGCTTCCTGCTTGCAAACCAGACCCTCTACTGCTCACACCCCAGTCCGTTTTTCTCTGGTTATTTGGGAAATGGGAGTCTCAAGAACTACTTGCCTGAGCTGGCCTTGATTCTCGATCTTCCTGATCTCAGCCTCCCAAGTAGCTGGGATTACAGGCGTCACTGGCACCCAGCTCCACCCCACTTTAAACTCTGTCTCCTTCCTTGTCCTCCTCTCCTCCAAAGACAATAGTTTTCCAAGTGCCCACAGAAAGAATAATAATTAAATAAATAAATAAATAAATAAAAGAAAAAAAAAAGTGCCGCAGAGGCACCACCTCACCTACTTCTAACAACTCTGGAGGAAGAAACTGGCTTCACTGTAACCTGACTTGGAAGGGATACAGTGACAGGACAGGGTCTGAGTCCTGATCTCTGGACCCATGTTTTTCAAACACATCCTTCCATAAGAAGGGCTGGGACCACAGTGAACACTGTGCTTCCCTGGTGTCACTTGGGCAATCACCTCTCCCCTGTCAGTCTGTAGAACCCCTAGTCTATCTGGCGCATCAGAGCCGGTTTCAGGACCTGGACTGAAATATTAGAGCCCAGGCCAGCTCTCCTCCCAGTGGCCTTGAGCTGTTGGTGACTAAGCAGTGGATGCCATGGACCAGCAGAGGTGTGTGGTCGGTGAGGGTTTCTCTAAAGCTCCAAGTGACAGGAAAGAGCCAGTTTCTCCAGGATCTAGAGAGAACAATGGTGGGGAGAGACACTCAGGTGGACTTGAGCATCAGATGGCAGAGGAATAGAAAGCAGGCCGGTGTGGCGGATGGCGAGGGACGGGAGAGATGGGAAGTGAGACTGGAGGCCAGGAGGCAGGCCTCAAAGGCCAGTTCTGAGGAGGCTGAGGCCTGGTTCACTGTGGGCGAGGCCAAGGCCAGGGCCAAAGACCTGACCCCTCCCTTCGTGTCCAGTTTTTTTCCTCAGAGGCTCCTCTTGCCTGGCACCAGTGGACAGGTGCCAGGGCTGCCAGGCAGCCGGAGAGTTGTGAATGAAGGAGGCTGGGCTGCAGTTTGAAGTAGTGAGATGATTATCCCCACACGCCAAGAGGGCACAGCTGTTCATTCAGGAAATGAGCAGCAGAGGCAACACCCACCCACCCACCAGCAGCTGAGTAACAAAGAAATTGTCTGCTGGCAACCAGGGGCTCTGTGCAGAGGCTATTTTTGTGAAAAGCTGAGAATTCAACAGCTCATCTCCTCGAAAGCCTCTCTCACCCGCCATGGAGAAGCTGAAGAGCTGGGTTAGAACCCAATTGCCCCCAAATCCTGATGATTCTGCTGGAGTTACAATTTTCACTCCAACTATCAACTGTCAACCCACCAAAGGGAGCTGGGCCTGGTCTGATGATCTTTGTACACTAAGGTACAAAGATCCTTAATGTGCTGGTGCCACTTGATAGATGATGAGGAAGCTCAGGCAGGCACAGAAAAGTCAAGAAACTTGCCCAGCATCACTCAGCAAGTGCTAGAGCTGGGATTAGATTGCAGGGTTCAGCTGAGCATGGTGGCACACACTTGTAATCTCACTTGGGAGACAGAGGTAGGAGGATCTTGAGTTCAAGGTCAGCCTGGGCTACATAGCAAGACTTTATCTTGGGGTGAGGGAAAAAAAAACCCAAAACCAAAAAAAATTCACAGGGCTTCATTACACTCTATTCTTTCTGCTATGCCACAGTGCCCTTGAAATGTTTTTTAACCCCCTGGGCACCCGATTCCTCTGCCATGGGACTCATCTCCAGCCTATACTAACATTTTGCACAGTAAATTAGGGTGGCCCTTCCTTCCTCTCCCCTTGTCCCCCGGTTTTCTGTGGTTCTGCCCACATCATTTGTGCTTCCATGCACACGTTCACAAATACTTATCACCTTTTGCTATGTGGTCTAGGCTGTGGACCGCTGTCTGAAAACAGCAGTGAACAAAGCAGATCTGCTCCTTAAGTTCACAAAGCTTACATCTCATCTACAGAGACACAGATAATACAAAATGCACAAGTAAGTGTATAATCACAAACCAGCAGGGTGAGGTGACAAAGCCTAGGAGGACTGAGTCCACTTGCTGAAATAGCCTTCTGAGGGAGGACCGCTCAGCCTCATATGCTGAGCCCTAAAAGGAAGAAGAGCCAATCTTATAAAAGGCAGGGGACAGGTGAACCCCCAGAGGCAGGGGAGAATCTACATGTTCAAGCAACCTAAGGCTTCAGATATGGCTACAGCAGGAGCTAGAACAAGGTCAAGGGCTGCAGTGTGTGGGATTTGGGGAGCTGGATGAAAGGCCTGCCTTTCATCTGAAACAAGAGGGCAAGGCCAGCAGCCTGGCAGGGCCTAATTCACTGGGGCTATCCTTGTCTAGGGTAGAGATTGACACAGGCTGGCAGAATGGCTCAAGGGGCAGAGTACCTGCCTAGCAAGCATGAGGCCTTGAGTTCTGAGGCCTTGAGTTCAAACCCCAGTACCACCCAAAAAAAAAAAAAATTGACTCAGGTAGAAGGATGGGGAGCCTGGAGCAGGGGTCCTCAGCTATACTCCTAGGGCCAAGCTGCCCACAGGTCTGTGGATGCAATGCTCCTTTAGCAGCTGCTACTGGGATTCCTCCCGGTCACTGGGAGAGCTCTCTGTGATGTGGTGGGGGTCCCTGCCCACGACCAACCTCTGGGGCACTCTGCCCTGAGGGCCTGGGCTGAGCAGCTTGTCAGAACCCTGGCCACTCCAGAGCTAGGCTGGCTGACAACTATCTGTCCACCCACACACTCTCCTGACCCCTGGGTGGTGGGTGGCCCTTCCAAGGTCGAGGGCTCCCCTCTGTCCTCACCTGGGCACGGCCATCCTGGATGTCCTGGCCAGAGCACCCACCCACTCACTCACCATCACATTCCCCGTGTCTCCTTTCTCAGTAGCAGCATCTGGATTGGTCTCTGCATGTTTGTTTCCCATTGTTCCTGGGCTAGAGCCCGAGCCCGAGAGCAGGGTCCCATCCAAGGCCTGGGAACTTTTTTCAGCATTTTACTTCCAGCTCAAGTCAGAGCGGAGAGCAACCTCATGGGGAATTTGATTTAGTCTCTTCTAGAACTTTTACCAGCGGCATTGCAGCAGAGCCTTTGCCTCCATTAGAGGGTTTTGTTTTGTTTTATTTTGACACAGAGTCTTACTATGTAGACCAGGCTGGTCTCAAACTTGCCATACTCCTGCCTCAGGGTCCCAAGTGCTAGGATTTTAGGTGTGTACTACCATGCCCAGTTTGTTGAGACATTTTATTTATTTACTGGTGGTACTGGGGTTTGAACTCAGAGCTTCACACTTGCTAGGCAGGTGCTCTACCAATTGAGTCATACCTGCAGCCCTGTTGGGGCATTTTAAAAGTGCCCAAATGCAGACTGGCACAGTGGGGCATACCAGTAGTTCACTTACTTGGGGTACTGAGGTGACAGGTTCACTTGAGTTCAGGAGTTCAAGGCCAGTTTGGCAACCTAGCCAGACACTGTCTCAAAATTAAAAATATAGCTGGGTGCTGGTGGCTCACGCCTGTAATCCTAGCTACTCAAGAGGCAGAGATCAGGAAGATGGTGGTTCGAAGCCAACTTGGGCAAATAGTTTGAGAGACCCTATCTTGAAAATATACTTCACAAAAAAGGGCTGTGGAGTGGCTCAAGGTGCAGGCCCAGTCCTGCAAAAAAAAAAAAAAAAAGAATTAAAAATATAGCCAGATGTGGTGTAATACACCTATAATTAAAGCCCTGAAAGGATGAGACAGGAGGATTGTGAGTTCAAGGCCAGCCTGATTACTTAGCAAAGACTCTCAAGAAACCAATAAATACACAAGCAGACAAATAAATATTAAAGATAAATACATAAATAAATAAAAACACCCAAATGAGAATGGTTCCCGGTCTTGTTCAGATGGAAGTCAAGGGCATCATTCAGCTCCTCAGAGCTGATCCTTTGCTTGCCTAGAAAATTCTCTGAGGATCTCAGAATGGAAGCATCCAGAGTTATCCCAACACTTAGGAATTCTCCCTACTGTCACTGAAAATGTTTTTCTCTTTGCTTTGGTTGCTAGAATGCTCAAAGTCAAATTCTTCAGCAAGTGCTGGACTATGTCGTTCTCAAGGTAAATCTTTTCTTCCCTCAACTATTCAATCATCCAATAAAATTTTGTCCTAGGTTTGTTGTATGCCTGGCTGGTTTATAGGTACTGAAGAATCAACAGTGAACAAAACTACAAAACCTCTGTCTTCATGGACTTGACAGTCATGGGAGGGAGGCAATAAACAATAATTACACTCTGCCATGTCAGAAGGCAGGCAATAAATGCTTGGGAGAACTATTAAAAAGAGAAGTGGGGATGGGGGAGGGTGGCTTGCAATTTAAAACAGGTCAGGGAGGTGTTGCTCAGGGGTAGAGTGCCTGTTGTGTGAGTGAGTGCCTGCTTTATTTATTTATTGTATTGGGGTTTGAACTCAGGACCTACACCTTGAGCTACTCCATCAGCCCTTTTTTTTGTGTTAGGTATTTTCGAGATAGGGTCTTGCAAACTATTTGCCCTGGCTGGCTTGAAACTGCAATCCTCCTGATCTCTGCCTCCTGAATAGCTAGGATTATGGGCGTGATATAATATAATGTCATTTTGCTGGGTGCTAGTGGCCCACACCTGTAATCCCAGCTACTTGGGAGGCAGAGATCAGAGAATTGTGGTTCAAGGCCAGCCTGGGCAAATACATCTTGAGACCCTATCTCCAAAATAACCTGAACAAAATGGACTGGAGTTCTGGCTCATGTGGTAGAGTGCTCAATTTGTGAGTAGGAAGTCCTGAGTTCAAATCTCAGTCTCAGCAAAGGAGGGAAAAACAAAAGGAAGTCAGGGAAAGCTTTGACCAGGCTCTTCTCTGAGGGAGATGGGGTCTTGCAGGGTCTGGAGAGGAAGATTGGGGTGTGTGTGTGTGTGTGTGTGCAGTAATGGGATGGTGGGATGGAACCTAGGGCTTCAGGCATACTAAGCATGTGTTCTACCACTGAGCTCCATCCCCCTCCAAGAATGAGAGTTTCTGACTGACCTGTTCACGTCTTGTTTCCCTGGCATCTGCGTTGGTTCCGGGTAGCAACATGGAGATCTGCATGGAGTAGCTCTGATAGCCCAGGTGATCGAGGAACAAGGTTTGAAGTCAGCCCTGGGAAGTAGTTTGCAAGACCCCATCTTAAAAGAACCCATCACAGAAAGGGCTGATTGTAGAGTAGCTCAAGGTGTAGGCCCTGAGTTCAAACCCCAATACCAAACACAAAACCAAAAAACACCTCAGGACTTCACACTTGCAAAGCTGGTGCTCTACCACTTGAGCTACACCTCCAGTCCATTTTGCTCCGGTTATTTTGGAGATGGGGTCTCTTAAACTGACAAGGCTGACTTCAAACCAAGATCCTCCCAATCTCAGTCTCCCAAGTAGCTACAATTACAGGCATGAGCCATGGGTGTCCAGCTCTACTATTTAATTTTTTTAGAGCCAGAGTCTCAAGCTGGCCTCAAACTCCTAGGTTCAAGTGACCCTCTCCAAGTTGCTAGGACTCCAGGTGCCTACCATTGTGCCAGGCTGCGTTCTTAGATTTAACAACATATTTCAAATGCCATTCTGTATTTTTATGGTGTCTCATTTTTTTATGGTTTCCTGTTTTTCTATTTTGTTTTCAGCCAGCACTCTACTGATGGTGTTTTTGGTTTTGGTTTTGTTTTCAAGACAGGGTCTTGATACATAGCCCAGGATGGCCTTGAACTCTTTTTTTTTTTTTTTCTTTCAAGATAGCTGGTACGTTTTTATTGAGCCTTTCAGTTTACAACATGAGGTAAAAGGAAAAAGTTCTCCTTAACCAGTATTTTACACAGCTATGGTTAAATATTTTAAGACTTCAGGAACTTTTACGGGAATTATATTTCTTAAAAGTTGGTATCAAGTAAACAAATTTTAACTTAATTCCTTGAATTTGCCAGTTGACTCTTCCAATACCAATAGTAAGAAGCTCAGTTATATGTTTCAAGGCCAAGTTTTATCACTCTTGCTGTCTTTAAATATGAAGCAGTATTTCAATCAATACCCACTAATTCCACTTCAAAAATGAGTTTTGCATTTGGTGGATTTTGGCATCAGGCTGTCCTTTTTTTCCATAAGCCCATTCTGGTTCAATCTCCAGTCGAGCCTTTTCTCCTTTACTCATAGTTAAGAGTGCTTCATCCCATCCTCTGATAACTTTACCAACTCCAACCTTAAAACTTAAAGGCTTGGCATTTTTCTTCTTCTTTGAACTCGTTTGAATATTAGTATCAAAAACAGTACCATCCTGTAGTGTTCCTGTATACCAGCAATGAACAACATCTCCCTTTTTGGGAAAGTTGGTTTTATCTCCCTTGTTTAGAACAGATTTTGTATATTTTGGCGGGCCCTCATCCAGTGTCTCTTCAGATTTGGTTTCTTTGGGTTTATCTTCATTAAGCTTCACATTTTTCACTTGCTCAGACACTTTACTTATACTTTCAGTACCCTTGAAACGCTTACTTTCAAAAAGATGGTTATAGGCTGTAACCAAATGGTCCTTATTGGCTGTCTTGGCTACATTTTTAATGTTTCCTAATAATTTATGCTCTGCAAGAAACGAATCTGAACCGTGATCCTGCAGAAACTTGATAATGTCCTTCTTGGGCAGCTGCTCGCTGCGCAGCTGTTCTACGGTCCACGCCCGCCGTGGAACGGCGGCCGCCATCTTCCCCTGCTGCCGCTGCCTCACTCGGCCTTGAACTCTTGATCCTCCTGTTGCAGGCTCCCAAGCGCTGGAACTAACAGGTGTGCAATGCTCTGCCCAGCTATGGACAGTCCTTTAAGGCCAGTTCTATTATTATCCCTGTGCTTTTTGTATTTTTGTGGGGGTGGTACTGTTGCACTCAGGGCCTCCACTGACCCTCAGGGCCTCCCACTGACCCTCGAGCTCTACCACTTGAGCCACTCCACCAGCCCTGTGATCCCCATTCTGCAGAGAGGCAATGTGGTGCCCACAGGACTGATGGCTTTGCCAGAAGTGCTCAGTTCCTGTGCTTGGTGGGGGAGCTCCATGCTGGACTCCATCGGCCTGATTAGATCCCAGCCCTAGTTCTCCCTCATTCCTTTACCCTCGACAACTGCAACCATGCCATCCTCTTGTCCCTTCAAATAACCCATATTTACAAGCCCTTGGCCATATGCCAGGCCCAGAGGATATGGAGGATCTAGATAGAGAAGTCCTCTGCTGTCACAGAGTCTGCAGCCTGTCATCTGTGTGCTTTTGTGAGTCACCTCAAATCTTCCATGGAGCAATATGGAGAATTAATAAAGAGGCCTGATCCGTTTTTACCAATGCATAAATCAATTTGCCAACAAATCATTGTTGTAGTCCTGTGAGTTGAATACCAGAAAAGAGGACTGGAAACCCGAAACACTGGACTCTTCAGTGCCCCCAGCCTGGTCCTCCTCCAGGTTCCCATCTGGTGAAAGGCTCACCAACTGGCTAGTGCCTGAAGCCCTCAGGCATTGGCTCTTCCCACCTCTGTCCCCAGGCCATCCATCCCCTCCACCCCATAGAGACCTCTCAACTGGTTCTCCATTGGCTGCCAGACTTGCCAAGCCTTCTCTTGCTGAGGCCATGTAATAACCTGCTCCCTAGTCTTTCTGTCTCTACCCAGCCCCTTCTCATCCTCTGCGTCACTTCCCTGTTTTGACCTTCTGAGGCATCCCTTTGTTTCCCCTAGGCCAGTGTCATGCAGCACAGTCCTATGGTTAGGGACATGGGCTTTGCAGCCTGAGTCCCAGCTCTGCCACTCAGTGCTTGTGTGACCTTGAATGACCTACTTTACCTCTCCTTGCCGTAAAGCAAAGTGAGATAATAAATGAGAATGAGATAAATCAAATAATGGTAATAGCTCTTACCTTATGCAGCTGCTGTAAGGATAAAAGTTATGGGTCTGGTGGCAAATACCTATAATCCCAGCATGGAGGAAGAGGAGGACAGCAGATCAGGAGTTGAGTTCTACATTATAAGACCTTGGTGGGACTGGGGTTTGAACTCAGAGGCCCTATCTTAAAAAAAAAAAAAAAGGTGCAGGTATGTGTGACTCAAGTGGTAGAACACTTGCAGGTCCTGAGTTCAATCCCCAGTACTGCAAAAAAAAACAAAAAACAAAAAAACAACCAACTAAACAAACAAAACACAGGTACAAAAAATGTACCAATGCAACCATTGTTTTTTTGTTTCTTTCAGTACAGCAGTTAATAAGTTACATGAGAGTCAGTCATGGTAGTGTTTTTCTATAGTCCCAGCTACTCAGGAGCCTAAGGCAGAAGGATGGAAGACTGAGAGTTCAAGGCCAGCCTAGGCTACATTGCGAGATCCTGTCTCAAAAAGCCATGGGCGGGCTGAAGGTATGGTTCAAGTGGCATAGCTCTATTTGCTGGGCACCAGGGGCTCACAACTCTTAATTCTAGCTACTCAGGAGGCAGAGATCAGGAGGATTGAGGTGTGAAAGCAGCCTGGGCAAATAGTTCATGAGACCCTATCTTGAAGAAACCCACACCAACAAGGGCTGGTGGAGTGGCTCAAGGCATAGGCCCTGAGTTCAAGCCACAGCACCGCAAAAAAAAAAAAAAGCAATGGAGTCGAATGTAGCTCAGTGGTAGAGCACATGCCTATCCCCAACATCACGCAAATAAGTAAACAACACAAATATTCAACACTTTATTATGAAACAGCCTTTGTGACAGATGGTTTGCTTGACTCTAGGCTAGTGTGAGTGTTCTGACACTCACATTTAAATTACGTTTAAGGTAGGCTAGACTAGCTAAGCTGTGATGTTTGGTAGGTTATCAGTATATAACCCACGATGAGTCAAGGAGCTCACATGTAAAGACGGAAACACTGCTTAACAAATGATAATGAGTTCAAAGAACGTTAATTGTTAGTATTATAATGATCGTAGCTTACCAGTTATCTCCTGGGTAAGTTAGAAGAAATACTTTTTTTAGTGTCTTTTTTTTTTCTGTACTGGGGTTTGCACTTGGAGCATGGCACTTATTAGGCAGTTGCTCCACCAGCTAAGCCACACTCTCAGCCCTGAAATACTTCTTTCTTCAGGTGCTAGGGATAGAACCCAGTGCCTCATATATGCTAAGTATGCACTCTACCACTGAATTACCCTTCTCACCTCGCTGACACACCTTTAATTATCTGAGAGCACAAACTCTCCCATACCCTACCCTGACCACTGTGAGCTGAAACTGGGCCCACCTCAGTTTTTCTTCCCTCTTCAATCTCCAACCACTGAGTGAATGAATGAGTGAATGAAAAAGGCATCATATTTGAGTTCTGATGGATGAGTAGGAGTTTTCTGGGTAAAGAAGAAGTGACTAAAGCCGTATCATGATGCTGGAGGACAAAAGGGAGCCTGGAGTTCTGTCTAGACCTTTCTGTGTGGCAAAAAGAGATTCATTTAGGAAAGCCTTTTGTGACAGTGTGAAGGTCACTAGCAGGAGAAACTGAGTCCCAGCAGGATGTGTGACTAAACTCCAGGGGAACAATGAAAAGCCCTGAACTAAGGCAGCAGCAGTGGGAATGGAATAACAAGGGAACATTTGATAGATATTTGAGCCAGGTGTCCCAGCTACTCGGGAGTCCGAGGCAGGAGGATCAGGTCGCCTAGCAACCAGAAAACTCTAAGCCAAAGTTTAGCCACAGAAGCGGGAGGCCCCGCCCCTTCATCTCCATGCCCCGCCTCCTGCTCGCGCAGGAGCCTGTAGCCAGCCCCGCCCCGCGTCCGGGGGCGGGAAGAAGCTTCTTATTGGTCAGTTCTCCGGAAGCGACGATATTCAGAATCTCGCGCACAGACTTGGCTGGGGCTGCCGGGTCCGGATGCTGCGCGGTGCGTGGAGGTAGCGCGGGGTGTAAGCGTGCGGCTGGGCGGGGCGACGGGGGCTCTCACCCCGCGCGCTGGACTAAGAGGTTCTCCTGCCGTGTCTCGGTTTCCTCCCGTTACAGCAGCGGACCATGACCCTACTGCTCATTACTACTGCGGGCCTAAGTTGGCCGTGGTGGGTGGCGGGGGGTGCCTCAGCGATTGGGACGGGGCTGAGGGGACTCAGGGAACCCTAACACGTCTAGACCGCGGTGCGTGACATGCTCTCCTGTTCCCAGCACCCAGCGCTGGCCGGGATGTTCGTCCTCGTGGAGATGGTGGACACCGTGCGGATACCCCCGTGGCAGTTCGAGAGGAAGCTCAACGATTCCATTGCTGAGGAGCTGAACAAGAAGTTGGCCAACAAGGTACTGGGCTCACGGGCTGGCCGGGCATGCGTGGCACGCGAGGGCCCAGCACTGCAGGGACCCACCCCCCGCAGGCCTGGCCTTGGGCAAGTGGCTTAATGCCTCAGGACCCCCTTTCCTTCACCTCCAAGTGGGATGGAGGTAATTCTGACCTCACTAGGAGATTGGAGGGGACTACAAGAGAAAATGGGCCGTGTGTGGTGGTGCACCTCTGTAATCCCAGGAACTCAGAGGCTGAGGTAGGAGAATGGTGAGTTTGAGGCTAACCCTGGGTGACATAGTCAGACCCGGTCTCAAATAAAAGAAGCTGGAGATGTAGTTCAGTGGTGGAGCGTTTGTGTAGCACGTGTGAGGCCTTGAGTTCAGTGCTCTTGAGGGAGAAGGGAGAGAGGGAGGGAGGGACGGAGAGGGAAGAGAGAGAGAAGGGTAGGGGAGAGGCTTGCAATATAAATAGAAATGGGTTTGTAAAAGAAGTGCTAGATTCCACACTGCCAAGTTACTTTGTGATCTTGGCCAAATCATCCTTTCTGGGCCTCAGTTTCCCTTTGGGAAATGGAAATAACCATGCAGAGTTTTTCTAGGATGGACAGCTCTAGTAATAGGGAGTTTACTGTCAGGAGATTTAATCATTCATTCCTGCAACACATGTGTACACCTATGTACCATGCCTGTGGATGGGCCTCAGTACCAGCTCCCAAGAGGTCTCCCCACTGCCTTATGTGGTGACCCTCCCTGCTCAGTTACTCTGCGTTATAGCTCTCTTTCCTTCTTAGTGCTTACACTGTTTTTTTTTCTTGTTTATTTGTTTTTTCTTGTTTACTTGGCTACTCTCCATGAGATAGGCACCTTCTCTGTTTCCTTTGCAGTATTCCCAACCCTTAACCAGAGGCTGACAGAGAAGAGGTTGAATAATTGTCTGTTGATTGAATGAGTGAGACAAGGCTCTGCCATGTAGTGTGGTAAGGAAAGCAGATGTGACAGAGAGGGTCCCCCAGGTGAGTGTATGAGTTGAGGTAAATATTGTGAAGGACAGGCATTCACACCTGTGGACCAAAGGCACTTCAGCTGGGATGAGAGGAATAGATGGCTTTGTTGAGGAGCTGGCACTTGAGCACAGATCTGATGGTGAGGAGGAGCTAAGGAGAGGCTTCATTTTTGGGGTGGGAGTGAACTGGGTGTAGAGAAGAGCTTCACAGGCAAGAGAAATCTGCACTGTGGAAGGAGGGGCTGAAGCACCTACCAGGGCACCGAGGAGTCTACTGTGGCTTGGGCGCAGGGGGAGAGAGGAGGATGGGCCTCCAGTCATGTAGGGCTTCATAGTCAGGTATTGGGTTTTTTTTAAAGTTTTAACAAGAATTTATCTTAGTATAATAAGATAAAGTATGGACAAGGTCGGGGGAAAGAGAGGGCAACATTTCCTGTTCCCCACACGGGAAATGGGAGCAAAGGTATTGTTTTTTATCTATACAGTAGCAGGAGGTGATGGTGTAAGAAGATGCCAAGAAGAGGAAGACTAGCTAGCTTTAGACAGGAGACAGGTCCTTCAAAAGAAATTGAGGTCAAAGGAGAGGAGTTCACAGATCTAGGAGTTGTTAGTGGTGGAGAGAACTCAGAGTCCTCTATGAGTGGCTTCTGGTTACCTTGTGAGATAGATATAAGAGAGTCTTTGGGAGGAATGAGGTCTGAACATTGTAGAGAGAGGTGTGAAAATCCAAGAAGAGATGGTGGTGCCTTTGGATCCTGGGTACGGTGGAGACAAGACTTCCCATGTTTGAATCTCTGAATCCTTTGAGAGGAGTCCACCCAGAAGATGGCGTGGTTTCACAAAGGTGCTATCTCCTTTTACATCCAAAGTCAGCTGGTCTCTGAGTCCTCATTGCAGTGAGGTCTGCCCATAACTCCTAAGTTCTCTGTGTGTCTTGCTAATCCTTGAACAATTCCTGCAAGAACTATGGCTGGGGGTGACCTTGTTGGTGGCAGAAAAATTAACATGGAGTCGTTTGGAAAACGGTGGTGTGGGTTTAGGGGTGTGGGATGTTCATAGCCACCAGTATCAGGGCTGTGGCCATCTGTGGCTATGATCACATAGTCCCTGTGGCTGCCTCCATGTGTCTGAGATTGGAGCACGTTCAGTTTAGCTGTGAGTCCTGCACTCACTGGGTGTGAGCTTGAGGATGGACTTGGGAATGTTGGGAAGTATAGGTTTAACCCGGATTCCCACCCTGATCCTCACTGGTAACAACAGTAATCTTTACTTTTTATTTTTATTTTTTTGGCGGCACTGGGGTTTGTTTTGTTTGGATGGTACTGGGGTTTGAACTTAAGGTCTCACACTTGCTAGGTAGGCACTCTACCTCTTTAGCCACTCCACCAGCCTGGGGTTTGATTGAACTCGGAGCTTCACACTTGCCAGGCAGGCACACTTACTGCTTGAGCCACTCTGCCAACCCTTTTTGTGCTTGTTTTTTTTTTGAGATAGGGTCTTGTGAACCATTTGCCCAGAACTGGTTTCGAACCATGATCCTCTTGATCTCTGCCTTCTGAGTAGCTAGGATTACATGTATTTTGGGGTTTTTTTTTGAGATAAGGTCCTCCTAAGTTTGCCTATGCTGGTCTCAAACTAGAGATCCTCCTGCTTCTGACTCCTGAGTAGCTGGAATTACAGGTGTGCACCATCACACCCAGCAAGCTGTACGTCCTTCTGAGGTTCCCTGCCATGGTCACCTTCTGCAGAGTCCTGGCTCATGTTCATCTAGGAAAAAGGGATCCTCAGAACTTGCTTGTAGTTGTGAGGGTCTCAGGACAGATGGCCTAGGGTGCTGGGCCTTGGGATCACTATGTGTATACACGTATGTTGTAGGTCGTGTACAACGTGGGACTCTGCATCTGTCTGTTCGATATCACCAAGCTGGAGGATGCGTATGTGTTCCCAGGGGATGGTGCGTCACATACCAAAGGTGGGTACCTTCTTTTCCTTAGACATTGGATTTCTTGGGGCTCAATTTTCTGTAATTAAGAGGTAAGGCTGTAGAAATGCCTTTGGTGAGGTGGTGGGAGAACTGGTCTGGGGTTGGGAAACCTGGATCCCATTCCTGACCACCAGGAATTGATTCAGTGACAGTGGGCAGACACTTGCCTTCTCTGGGCCTTAGTTTCCTCATCTGTAAGACACAGGAAATGGACTTGGTGATTTTCATGGTCTCTCTAGCTCTGAGGCTGCTCCATGTCTGGGCCCCTTTGGGTTTTATCTGCTGCTGAGCTCTGTTCTTTGCTCAGCCCTCAGGTTGCTTACTCTTGTGGGGTGGGGAGACAGCCAGGACACGAAAAGACGAAGTGGAGGGCCATTGCAGTTAAAATTGTGGCCTCTGGTTTTGAATCCCAGCTCTGCCACTTACTAGCTATGTGTCTTGAGCTGGATATGTAACCTCTCTGTGTCTCTGGTTCCTTATGTGTGAAGTGCAGTTAGCAGTAGATTTCATATCCCAGGACTGCTGCAAGTGTGGAGTCAGTGCCTGTAAAGCTCCCAGGACAGGACGTTGGTGCTAGTTAGTACTCATCCATTTGGGTTGTGTCTGGATTCTGTTGGTCAGTTGGTGCTGGTCTTGTGCAATGGCTTGGACAGGACTACAGGGTCTAGAACGCCTTGCATTCTGGTGTTTGGCATACTGGTTGGTCCAGGGCTCCATCTTTCAGTAGGTCACACTGAGTTTGATTTCAGTGGTCCAAAGCTCAGTGCATAATCAGTTCTCCAGCCTTGCCCACATCCCATTGGCCACAGCAGGTCACATGACCCAGGCCAGGTTAAAGGATGGAGAAACAGACTCCACCTCTTTTTTTTTTTGAGGGACTGGGGTTTGAACTCAGGGCTTCACTCTTGCTAAGTGCAGTCTAATTGAAATGGGTGTGCGTCTGGGGATGGGAGGGTGAGTAGCAGAACCTGGAAGGAGGGAAGAGAAGCTGGGGCATTTTCAGAGCCAGGCTTCCAGGGGTGGGGTGGGGGAGGGCGTTCGCCACTCCTGCCTAGACTGAGATAGGGCCCTTTTTTTTCATACTGGGGTTTGAACTCAGGGCCTCGCTACACAGGCGCTCTATAACTTGAGCCACACCACCAGCTCTGGACAGGGCCCTTGGAGAGGGTCCAGGGCTCAACAGAGTGCAGGTGTGCTGCCTTGTTATTCCCTGGGCACTGGGTAGAAACACTGTCAGCCTCCAGGGGTGGGATCAGCCTAGGAAGGGCGAGAGAGGTGACAAGTTTTAAGAAGGTGCCTTGTGACACTCATATAAGCCCACAGCTGAGGAGCACTGTGCTAGTGCATGCTGGTCAGCCTTTTGGCCCAGGGATGTCTGAGCATTCCAGAACATGCTGTGAGACTGCCTGGGGTCTGTCCAAACATCCAGAGACTTAATTAGTTCACATGGGTATTATTGTGCTCTGCAGAGATCCCTAGGAAACAGGCTGTCTTTGTGTGAACCAGGGTCATTTTCATGAGCAGAAAAATAAGGCTGTGGTGTGGAAACAGCCACGAGGGCCTCTGTTCACAGTGAAGGGTGCCAAGCTGAGCTCCTGCTTTGCACTTGGAAGAGGGCAGGGCTTCTGTTCACAGAGAGGGGTACTGAGCTGAGCCTGGTTCTACATTTGGAAGGGAGCTTGGTTGTCCAGGAGACAAGTGGTAATAGCTACCAGAACTTAAGGAAAAACAGAGAAGAATTAAGCTTGAGGAAATTCAGCCCATTTGGTTGCTTGTTTCTGGCACTCAGTATAAGATCTCCATTATTGGCTTTTATTATCCCCACCCTGGGTCTCCTGTTTTGTTGGGATGAGGTGTGTCATGCTGAACACTGGATTAAGCACATCTCATGGACCTAAATTTGAAGTCTGGCTCTGGCCCCCTAGCCGAGGGCCTTGGGCAGGTAACTCCTCATTTTCCTCATCTGCATAGTGGGTTAACAGTTGCAACTGTGAAACTCCTCATGTCCGTTGAATCCCGTGCAGGTTGAGTTGTTATCCTGTGGGAGACTCAAGTTGCTGTGCTGCTCCAAGGCTGACCCATGACCCCAGACACGCTTCCATCACCCCTCCCAGGGCTGTAGTAGAGCAAGAGCTGAACAAGAGGCTTAGAGCCCAGGACTTGTCAGGCCTCACCTTTGCTTAGAGGAATCCATTTGCCAGTTGCCACCACCCTGTCACCCAGGACAGGTTGCTTTACCTCTCTGAGACTCAGTTTCCCTATCTGTACAAGCAGTGCAATCACAGCACCCACCTCACTAAATGTCGGGAGGAGTACAAGAACAGACCCATCCTTAAAAATTCCTGTCATATTTTCTTATAGGACGTCAGATCAGCCTTTGCTATTTGGGACCCTGACCCATGCTAGCTTGGTAATATTCCTAGATACCCAGACTGCTTTTATCTGGGGCCCTACAGGCCTGAACCAGGCCACCCCTCTTGCCCTGCTCCCACTGTCCCAGGTTCGGGTAGGGGCCCTACTCAGCTGTAGAGCAGCCTGCCACCATTTGCTTCCCCCATTGTTCTAAAAAAAAAAAATATATATATATATATATATATATGTATAAAGTAAAATTTACTAACTTAACCATTTTTAAGTGTACAGTTCAGTGGCATTAAATATATTCATGTTGTCATGTTACCATCACCACCATCCATTTCCAGAACTTTCTCATCTTCTGAAACGGAAACTCCATAACTCCTGGGCTGGAGGTGTAACTCAGTGGTAGAGCTCCTGCCTTACCATGTGAGGCCCTGAGTTCCATCTCCAGTGCCACAATAAAAAAGGAAATACGCATGGCGCCGGTGTAATCCTAGCTACTTGAGAGGCTGAGGTTGGGAGGAGGATCATGATTCAGTCGCAGCCCAGGCAAATAGTTCAAGAGAACACAACTTTGAAATAACAAAAGCAAAAATGAACTCAAGGAGTGGCTCAAGTGGTAGAGCAACTGCTTTGCAAGCGTGAAGTCCTGAGATCAAACCCTGGTCTCACCAAAAAAAAAAAAAAAAGGACACACAGGTCATTCTTGATCTCCCTTTCTGAGATAACCCACTTTCACTCTTGCACCCTTGAAAGTGTCTATTTTAATAAGCTTTATTTAAAAAAAAGGAACACAACATTTCTCAGTGAACACCTCCCAGCCTCTGCAAACTCCATTCTACTTTCTGGCTTTGTGAACTTGACCACTCTAGTGCCTGGTATGAAGGGAATTGTAGGGTATTTTCCTTTTTGTAGACTCTTAATACATCCCAAGGCAACTTTATCCTGGAACAGATTTTGCTCAAAACAAATTCTCCTCTCTCTTTGTGGTGCTGTATACTGCTAAGGATGGAACCCAGGGCTTCATGCATGCTAGGCGAATGCAGTACCCCCGACTCTCTTCCTTTTTAGACTGACTGATATTCTGGTGTGTATGTGCACATTTTGTTTATCCATTCATCTGTCAGTGGATATGAGGCTACCAAGACTTGCTTTGTGGTACTGGGTTTTGAACTCATGGCCTTACACTTGCTAGGCTTTTGTAGTGAGTATTTTCAAGATGAGGTCTTGAAAACTATTTGCCCAGCTGATCTTGAACCATGATCCTCCTGACCTCTACCTTGAGTAGCTAGGATTATATGTGGGAACCAACAGCACCCGGGCAGTGCTTGGGAAGGGGTTACCAGGAGATTGGGCATCTTTAAGGTGGCTCAGATGTTTGCCTCCTCCTTTCCTCATGCCTTCCTGCCTGATGGAGCACAGGGAAGCAGGTTGTGAGGGACTGGGAGGGGTGGACCCTGCTGTCCTGGACAGGCTGCTGGCAGACTAGGCAGCTGAAGAGGCCCTGGTGGAAGCCTGTGCTTGAGGGGGAAGCCTGTCTGAGGGAGGCAGGGTTCATCCTAGTGGCCCTGTCTGGGGAGGGACTTGGAGACTCCCTGTGGCAGAATGGGTCAAGACAGCAGTATGGCTGGGAGCAGGTCACCAGCCTCAGCTGCCTCTTCCTTATGGTGGGAACATGACATCTGGCACAGGCAGTCATCGAACAGCAGGGGCAGGCTTCCTGTCGACTCTGAAGCATTAAGCACGGGCAGGAATGGTTAGGTGACACGCGTGGCTTTTGTTAGGGCCTGGGGTCAGAGTCTTCAGTGGGCATAAACCTTAGCTGGTGCTTTCCTTAAGGTCAGGTGAACGGAGATCACCTAGGGCAGGGCCTGAGGACCCATATAGACATTTTGATGGCTGTCCCATCTTCCCCCCCAGGTTTCAGGGCATTCTTAGCATCCAGGTCAGAGCTGTGCCTGGGGCAAACTTTGGCAGGCAGCAGGAGACAGGAACTTGTTTCCAAATCTGATTCCAGTTGTCTGTTGCTTCTGCCATTTTAGAATTTAAAGGAAAGCCTGGAGGAAGGTTGGATTTGACTTTGGAGTCATCAGCGAGCCAGAGTCTGAGCTCAAGAGTCAGGTGGATTTGGAAACCAGCCCTCAGTTCCAGGGCAGCTGCTGCTGATCCCTTATGGCACCAAGCTGTGACTTTGTCAGGATGGGGGAGGGCTTCTTGGGCTCAGCTGCTGGGTCTCGTCCCTCAGGGGGACTCACTGTGGACCACAGGGTCAGTGGGCCGGTGGTGAGGATGGGCATTGGAGACTAGGCTACCCAGTCTCTGCAGCCATCCTGAGTGCCTGTTTGTCACTGATGAGCTCTCTTCCTTTCCAGTCCACTTCCGTTATGTGGTATTCCACCCGTTCCTGGATGAGATTCTGATTGGGAAGATCAAGGGCTGCAGCCCAGAGGGAGTGCATGGTAAGGCAGCCTGGACTCCTCAGGCACGACCAGAGCATGGGGGCAGGGGGTTTGTGCTGTCCCCGTGGTTGGGAAAAGCTCAAGTGTCAGAGAAGCTGCCCAGCCTTGAGGCTGAGCTCAGGGTACTTGGCCCCCTCCTGCTTTCATGTATGGACCTCAGGGTGGGCGCTGAAGCTGGTGGAGGTGACTAGGGGTGCTCGGGGCCCTCAGTCCCTGTGTATGCAACGTTCACTTTAGGCCTGGGGTTTTGCCCAGGGCAGCTCAGGCCATGGGTAGGTAAGTAGAGGCATGGAGCCAAGGTGGGAAGGGCCAGATTTCCATGATAACACCTGGGCAATGCTGGGGAAGGGGCTTGCCTGTGTATCCAGACCCCTTGTTTGTTTTGTTCTGTTTTTCTTTCTTCTACAGCACTGGGGTTTAAATTCAGTGCCTCATGTTTGCTAGGGAAGCGCTCTACCACTTGAGCCACGCCCCCAGCCCTCACCCCTTCTTTGGCTGTCCACTGGAGTCCTGTCCCATGCCATCACCTTCATTTCTTCTAGTCTCTCTAGGGTTCTTCGATGACATTCTCATCCCCCCAGAGTCACTGCAACAGCCTGCCAAGTTGTATCCTCCCAAGGTCAAAGTGGGTCACAGAGTTACTCAGGCTTCTCCCAGCCAAAGGTCCCCACTCCTGCAGTGGCCCTTGGATCCTGTGATCTGACATTCTTGGCCTCTGTGCCTGACCTTCTGGCAGCACATGTGCTCTGGAAGTGTCCACTCACCTGCTTCCACTCTGAGCACAGTGTCTATGGGCCTGGCTGGGTGGTACAGTAGAGCACTGCATACAGACAGCGCTGTGGTGCTCCATTCACTCCTGGTTCGCTGCAACTCCCTACAGGAGTTGTCTCAAAGATCCCTACACTCGGGCTGGCCTGTCCCCCCAACCTCCCTGGGGTGTAAAGCCTGTGTTGCTCTCTGAGAACCCCCTCTCCAGCCTTCACCTTGGTGACCAGGCTTGTCTGTTTTGATGGGGCTGTCACTAATCTGAGATTCTTCACTAGAGGAACCCCATCCTGTCATGACTATCCCTAGCAACCAGCAGAGGCCTGGCCGCAAAGGAGGCAGGGCCCAGTGGTGGGAGTGTCACTAGAGGGCAGTGTTGCTCCTTAGCGTGGTTCCTGGGTTGGATGTGGGGGGCGGGCTGTGTAGATGGGGGGAGGTGTCCTGGCTGGCTGGCCCAGCAACTCTGGTAGCTGGAATTTGTTAGCAAGTCTGGCCCAGCAGCCTATTTGGTCCTGCTCAGCAGGTGACCTCCTAATCCATCTCACCTGCTGATAACTGCAAGTCTTTGAGTTGCTTTCCTGTCAGATTTGCCACAAGTCTTGGATGAAGAAGGGGTGTGGTGTCATGTCCTAGCATGGACTGACTCTTCACTGTGGGGCAAGGACCTGTTTTGCCTGTGACTTCCCAGCCAGAGTGATCTCAACTTAGGGTTGGATTTTTCTGGGTAGGTACTTCAGATCGTCTTCCACTATAAATTGGTTGTGGCCTTGACTGTGGGCCAGCGATGAAGCAGAGCAGGTATGGGTATGGGAGTATGAGACAGAGGAAGGAGCGCATGACTTGTACATGGACACAGGCGAGGAGATCCGATTCCGGGTGGTGGACGAGAGCTTTGTGGACACGTCTCCCACAGGGCCAAGCTCAGCTGAGGCCACCTCTTCCAGTGAAGAGCTGCCAAAGAAGGAGGCTCCCTACACGCTTACGGTGAGACATCCTGATGGTGCAGCCGGGATCACTGGGTGGCAGAAAAGCCCTGTGTGCAGCGGTGGGGGCTACGTCCTTGAGATTCCACTCCTGGAACCCCTCTCTAGCAGGTCAGGTCCAGCTTTCTTGTGTGGCCTTTGCCTGTCACTTCTCCCTGCAGAGCCTGTTTCTGCAGGCTGAGGCCATGAGCTGACAAAACTGCCATGGATGTTGGGGAGGGTGAGTGGGAACCAATCACCTGCCTGCATGAGGGACAGTGCACATGCAGGATGGTAAGTCCACAAGGGGTGCCCCCCCCCTTTAGTACTGGGTTTCAACTCAGAACTTCACACTTGCTAGACAGGTGCTCTACTGCTTGAGCCATACCTCTAATCCTTTTTGCTCTGGTTATTTTGGAGATAGGGTCTTGCATTTTTGCCCAGGCTGGTCTGCACTGCAATTGTATTGCGTTTCCTGCCATGGCTGGGATTATAGGCACATACCACCACACCCAGCTGAGAGTAAGGGGAAGTCTCCAGGAAAGAGTGGCCCTCAGAGTTGGGCCACTTCCTGGGCATATATTTGGAGTTTGGCTGTCATGGACACTGCACTATTTCTGGTGGGAGGGTAGACTTGAGAAGGGTACCTGACCTCCCACTAAGACCTTGGAGCCAGTAAACCAGTGCTTTTCTACAGGCCTAAGAAAGGTGGGGACCAGAAGGTCTGCACCCTATCTCCTCCAGTGTGACTTCCAGTTCCCCCAAAGTCTCATGGCTGTTGTGTGCCCCATCTGCCCTTTGCCTGTGCTGGGCGTGCCAGGTGCTAAATAGGATGGCCTCTTTATCTCCTGAGGTGGTCAAGTCCTGAGTGGCAATGAAACACCTCTTTTCCCTTTGCAGGGATCCATTAGCGAGCCTGGCCTGGGTCTTCTCTCCTGGTGGACCAGCAGCTAGCCCTGGGGTTCGACAATGACCCAGCCCTCTGGAGACCCCATCCCAGGTCTTGGGGAAGGTGGTGCAGCCAGCATTGAAGACAGTAGCTGAGCAGATAAGGAGAAATCTACTGCCTACAGCCGGAACATGTTTATCCCCTTCCACTACTATCCTGACCCTGCTCTTTCCAGAGCTGCCCCTGAAATCCTGCTCCAGTGGACTGTTTTGTTGTTTTTTCAGTGCTGGGGATGGCCTTTCACACTAGGCAAGCACTCTACCACTGAGCCACACCAGCAGTTCCAGTTCCGTCTCATCCTGTGGACTCTGATGTCAGCAGACATTAAATAAGCGATGACAGCATCAGCAAGGAAGGGGCCCCCTTGTCTCAACAGCCAATGTCACAACTAAGGTCACTGAATTGCCAAGCCAAGTCACTTGGAGATGACTTCCACTGACCCTCTGCACCCCCAGCATCTGGAAGAATAGGGTAGCTAATGAAATCAGCCAAACCAGCTCTCAATCTAGAAAGTGGAGGCTGTGGGTTTTGCTAACCCTAGATGGAAGCGTGGTGTTATCCCCCACAGTACAGCAAGAAGCCTGGGGTCCGCTGCCACACAGCTGAGGCTGAGGCTGCTAGTGATGCCCCAGATCTGTCTGGACAAGACACTTGTTCAGCAGGACTGCTGGATCCTCCTGTCCCTTCTATCCCCACTGGCACCAGGACACTTGTGCAGTATGTCTTATCCTCCATGGAGTCTTTCCAGCTCATTGGAGCCACCAATGTGACGGTGCTGGGTAGTGCCAACTAATGCTCCCTCAAGAGGAGGAGCCTGTTCTTCACCAGGGCCTACTGCTGAAGGGGCTCAGGATTGTATGCAGCATTCCCCAGTTGTGACCTTGGGCATATTTGCTTTCCAGGGTGGTCTCAACCTTAACACCGGCTTTGCCCACTCTCAGGGTGATTAGAAAGCTGCATGAGATCATGCCTGGCATGTTAGTGCCAGGAGGAGAAAAGGAAGAGAGGTAGTGATGGGGAGATCTTTTCTGCCATTCTCAGATCACCTTCACTGCGGTAACTGGTCCAGATGTGACTGTGGCTGGCCATGGGATCTCTGCTGCCCTTAGCTGAAAACACCCCTCTTGAACCCTGGATTTAACAATAAACAGTACAGATAACAACCACACACAAAGTCAAATAAATCTGGGTTTTTTTTGTTTTCTTTTTTGAGACAGGAAGGATCTTGTTAATGTAGTCCAGGCTGGCCTGTAACTCATGACCCTCCTGCCTCACCTTCCCAAGTGCTAAGATTATACACCACCATGCCCCAGTGGATTCTTATTTTTCTTGTAAGAACAAATGTTCTGTCAGCCACCAATGAAATCATCAGGCAGAATAAAAACTTTAGAGGGGAGTCTTGTCATCAAAAATAAATACAGTTGTATGGGACTGTTCAAGATCTGAAGCAAACTGTAAAGGAGAAGGCAGGGGCTGGGAGATTACTTTAAGAAGCCCCCACTATGGGTCCCTCCCACCCACCATGAGTGGGCTGAGGCTGGGGAGAGAGGGACACCATCTTGGAGCTGGAAGCCATGCTAGATGGACCAGATCTGACTGATGCATGAGGAACTGCACTTGTGACTGACACCAGCATGGGGTCCAGGCAGTATAGGACAGAGTGTGGCCTGCCCTTATTGCTGTAGCTCCTTCATCCTGTTGAGAGCGCTGCCCGCACGGAACCACTCAATTTGGGTCTCATTGAAGGTGTGGTTCAGGAGGATGGTCTCCTGGGTCCCGTTGGGGTGCTTGATGATGCATTTCAGTGGCTGCAAGGGGAGAGGCAGGTGTGAGTGGAAACTGGCAGGTGCTCTAGGATAGAGCCTTCATACTGTAGGAAGGCAGGCACTGCTCTCGGGAGACTTGGAAGCTGGATCTGGGGCTGGGTAATCACAGGCAGGGGACTCCTGGGGTCCAAGGGGTCACACTGGAAAGGGGCTGTTGGGCTGTAAGTGCCAAGTGTGAGACAATGCCTCAGAGTCTGGAGCCGGAGGGCCACCCTTACCTTTGGGAAGGTACTTCTCTTCCTATTTGAGGATACCTAGAGAACTTAAGGGCCCTTCCCAGTGGAATAAGCGTTCACAGGAGGAGCTAAAGGGGGGGCCATGTGTAGCAGGAGGGAAAGCAAGGTAGCTGCTCCCACCCAGGAGGGCCCTGGTCATCTACGCTCCTCTATCCCCCGACCTTGCCCGGGGCAAAATCCTTTAGGCCCTGAATGGTCAGCTTGTCCACAGGATGGATCTTGTTATAGTCCGAGGGGTCAGCAAAGGTGAGAGGCAGCAGGCCCTGCTTCTTCAGGTTGGTTTCTGAAAGATACAAGCAGTCAACAAGGTGAAGCCTCTTCCACTTCTTGTCTGCCCAGGGATCCTCACCAGGCTGGGAAGCTTCATTTTCTAAATTCAGTTGGGGCTGTGGGAGACACCCCTAATTTGGCTGCTAGGGGTAGTGATTCCAAGGCCCAGTGCTTCGAGTCCCAGTGACATGCTCCCTTTCATTAGAAGCACCCCGAACAGAAGTGCACTGGTGCAATCTGTGAGGCTTTCTGGGTAGACACCTTCACAATGTCTTGTGTCTTGGAGTTCAGTGGCTCAGGTCTACAAGTGTGGAAGCAAGACCAGTACTGGTGGGAAGCTGTAGGAACTGGATTTGGGCAATGCCAACTTGACTTTGGGTGGGTGACTGTGGGCTATGGTGGAACACAGGATCTGTAGACAATAATCTGAAAGCTAGACATAATGGGTTCAGGCTCAAAGTGGTCAATGGCAATGTGGGTAACTTGGAAGCCAGATCTGGGCTGGGTGATTCAGGCAGGGCTCCTGGGGTCCAATGGGTCACACTGGAAAGGGCTGTTGGGCTCTAAGTGCTAAGTGTGAAATAATGTCTCGGAGTCTAGAGCCAGAGGGCCTGGGCTGACTCCACCCTTACTCTGGGAAGGCACTTCTCTTCCTGTTTGAGGCTACCTAGAGAACTAGGTGGGGAAGGGGCACCAAATGCCCTAGATATGGGCTCTAGCTCACCATGGATTCTGGCGAAGCTCTTGGTGATGATGGCCCGGCCTCCGAGATGGCGAGGCTCCAGTGCTGCATGCTCCCGGCTGGAGCCCTCACCATAGTTCTCATCTCCAACCACCACCCACCTGATACCATGTTCCTGTCAGGCAAGCAGGTGTGAAGTCAGGAGGCAGATGAGGGCACTGCTCCCCCCACCCTGGGCATGTGGAAGCCCATGGGGTCAAGGGCAGGAGTGAATCAGGTCCAACTACATCCAGCAAAGCAGAGGCAGGTGGGTTGGGCATAGCCCTGCCTTCTAGTTGGCAGTGGGCCTGGCTCTGGCTCTAGTGGCCCCTTTGTTCCCTTAGCTATCCTCCTCCTGGTTCCCGGGCCTGGCTTTGGACTCTCACTGCTTGCTTCTTATCAAATCTAGAGTGACTGCTTTCTTCTCTGAGTTTCTCACTGAGTTCCTGAGGCAGCTCTTCTTCCTCTCCTACAAGGTTTCCTCCAACATTTTTGGCTGAAGCCAAATGCCTGCTGAGAGTCTCCTCTCACTAACTCCTGGGTGCTCTGACCAACCAGTTCCACCCATTTGAGCTATGCCTGGTTCCTTTAGAGTGGCAGTTTCCTCTGGGCATGGTTGATCCTTCACTATTTCCACTCCCCACATGTCCTCCCTGTGCCTGCCCTCCGGCCTTCAGGGAAGTGGCTGCCAATACTGCTCCCACTGATGCTTGCTCACCTTGTAGTATCGGGCAGTGTCAGGGACAGGGCCAAACTCCTGGGTGACAGCATTTCGCACAGAGTTGGCCTTGCCATTTTCAACATTGATGGCACCAATGAGCAGATTGTTGGAGATGTTGTCCAGGTGCCCACGGAATTTCAGCCAGGGTCCGGCAGCTGAGATGTGGTCGGTGGTACACTTCCCTTTGACCTTGGGTGGATGGGTGGGTGGGCAGAGAGGACAGAGGCCAGGATGTGGCTGGTGAGTGGTGGATTAAAGGAAAGCCCTCCAGAGGCAAACTGTAGCACCAGTGCCAGGGGCCCACGGGGTGCCAAGGGAAGCATGTCAGATTTTGGATACACAGCCTGCAGTGTTAGCTATCACTTGACACTCTCATGGGCCTTGGACTGCTCAGTCTTCAGACAGGCCATGCAAAGGGGACGGGCTAGACATGGAGTTCAGAGGTATCTCTAGGCTCACCCTCCAGGTCTAGGGCTTCAACTAAGAGCTGCCCAGGGTAGATCAGCTAGACCTCATGCTGGAGACATGTCTGGGTCCTGGCTGGTGACTGATCAGGAGTGCCTGGACACCCCTTAGTAAGCACATAAATGAATGTCTGACGTGGGTATAAAGCCCTAGGCTTAGGGCTAGGGTGTGGCTCAAGTGGTAGAGCATCTGCTTAGCAACTACAAAGCTCTGAGTTCAAATACCAGTACTTGGGCTTGTGTCTGCTTAGCTCCCAAACAGACCTTTTCAACAAGTGGGAATAATAGAAATCACTGGTTTTGGGAGCCTGTTTGTTCAAGCCAGAGGTGTGAAAACCTGTTCAGTTACATGCATCCCTCTGGGCCTGCGTGTGTTGCATTTACCTGGCCGTACCAGATGGCTGAGTGCCCCAGACAGCAGATGATCAGATCCAGGTCTGCCCACCTGGGGCCATAGAGAAGGGGAATACCTGGCTGTGATGCCCTCCCTCCTCTGCAGGCAACCTCCTTTTCTGTCCTCCCTTTGTCTTGACACCTACACCCACCTATGGTTCTCTGAGCCCTGCCTGCCTGCCTGACTGGCCCAAACTGACCTTGATGAGGATTTGCAGGTCCTCCAGGTCTTTGCCGTCCCACTTATCGAAAGGTTCTAGGAGCTGCAGGCGCTGGCTGGTGGGACTCACATCTACCCGCTGTCCACTGCTATCCTTGGGAGGGTGCTGGTAGGTGTCTTGCCCTGGGTCGAACTCCTGCAGCAGTAGACAAGGGCATGTTGGGCACCGAATCTTCAGTCCCCGTGTAGATGGCTCTCATAGGAAGCAAGTTTTCCTTTGCTCCAAGCCACAGTCCCCTAGAGAACATAGATCCTTTGTTCTCACTAATAATGCTGTCCCTTCACAGAAGCTGCAGGTCCCCAGGTCAGCTGACAACAGAGTGGCAGCACCTGCTCACCGCTTGGGGCAGCTCATCTGCATCAGGAGCCTCCAGCTTGAACTTCTTGCCATCCTTGCCTGTCAGGAAGTCAGTTTCTGGGTTGAACTTGAGGGTTCCTGCAATGGCCAGGGCTGTGACAATCTGAAATGAGGTAGCCAGTTTGTTGGTTAGCACCAAACACTATGCCTATCTTGTTCACCAGCAGAAGCTAGGAAATTTCTCTGCTCTCCTTGGATGCCAGAGCTACAGGACTATCTTTGGGTCCATGGGCCACTGGGTCAGCAGAGGACTCAGGAACCCAAGGGCCATCTAGTCTCTATTACTGCCACTAGGGCCCAAGCTTAGTGCTCGCCCCCAGGCCAGATCAGCACCACTGCAGCACTGTCCTGTCCCCCTCAGGTGTTGTGGAGACAGACAGGAAGAGGTCACGGAACAGAAATGCTGCAGTGATGAAAATGTTCCTACATTGGTAGCTCACTTAGTAAGCACATTTCTACTTGTAAACAGTAAAGAGACAGACCAGCTGAGTGCCAGTGGTTCACGCCTGTAATCATGGCTACTCAGGAGGCAGAGATTAGGAGGATTGAAGTTCAAAGTCAGCCCGATGGAGTGGCTCAAGGTGTAGGGCCTGAGTTCAAACCCCAGAACCTCAAAAAAAAAAGAAAAAAAAGGAAAAAAACCAGAGCAAAATGGACTGAAAGTATGGCTCAAGCGGTAGAGAACCTGCTTTGCAAGTGCAATGACCTGTTTGAACGCCAGTCCTAATCCTTCTCCCACCCCAGCGCACCCCCCAAAAAAGAGATGGATAGTTGAGGCAAGAAACCCCTAAGTGTCTGGGGCACTTCTGCTGACTCAGTGCCCACACTAACAGGGAGGCCAAAATTACTGAACCCATAACCTAGAGCTGAGTGCCA